AGATTTACTGAGGTCCTGCTGTCCTTCACTCTTCTGCACGCTCTCTCAACTTGTACTCTCGGGACAAGGTTTCTTTCATTCGCCTTAGTGTGAGTGTACTGCTGTTCCACATATCTGAGTGTCCCAGTCTCCACTGCACCCTCTCTGCCCCTCCCCCCAGAACACTGTCCAGCTTCTTTGATTTTACTTTCTGCCCCTGGATGAAATGCTAACAAACACAGAAAAAGTTGGGAGTATAATGTATCTATGCCTGAGGCTTAGGAATAGATAATGGGTTCCATAGGCCAAATATCCCAGGGTCTATGATGTGCAGGGATTGGAGACAAAATGGTTTAAAAATGAAAATGCTACTCAGATTCTTTTATGGTAGGGCTACTTTATGCTGCCTAAATTATTCAGGAGGCCACATGAGAGAGAAGGCCATTCCCTGCTTAAAAGACCCTCTGCAGCTCCAGGGCCAGCAGTGGCCCCTTACTCCCTGTTCCTTGTGGCCTCAGCTGCAGTAGGCTGTGCCAGATGTGCACAAAGCCACTGCTTTCAGAAATGATGACCTGAAGGTCACTACTCTGACTAGAAAAGCACAACCTGGGATGTTTAGAGAAAAGCCCATTCCTGCTGAGAGCATCATGCATGAAAAACAGGTACAGCTACTTATTTTCTGTACCTGTAGCATAGACAGTAGATAGAAAATAGAAGGGGGGGCAAGAATAGCATGGGAAATATAGAATCTAAAGGACTTGAGACACATGGTCATAAACTAAAGGGGGGTAATGGTGGGGATGGGGGGGTAGGGTGGAGGGGAATGAAAGGGGGAATAGAACAACTGTAACAACATAATCAATAAAAAAATAAAAATTAAAAAAAAAAGAAAAACAGGTACAGAAGCCTGAATGCTCAGAAGCCTTGAAGGGACCTCTAAAGGCAGATAACCAAGCCCTAAACCAGCTAGCTGACAACTGTGTCAACACAGCCACAGTTTTATCCAGCAGCTAAACTAAAAATAATGTGACACTTCACCACAGCATGCCTGCCTGGCTCCAATGTGCAGAACAAATGCTGAAATACAGGCTGCTGCTGTATTTGCAACAATGAAGGTCTAATAACATCGAGAGGGATTCCAAGATTTGAATAAAAGATCACCTAAGAAGGCAACTCCTTGGTGCTCAGTTGATTAGACTGATGCTCTTTTTAATAGTGATTTATTTGGTATCTTTAGAAGTCGTATACAAAGGGAATCAGGGTGTGCTGTTGGCTTCTTTCTGATGGTATTTGGTAATGATGCTCCTTGGATGTCTTATTGGCATCATTGCTAAATCTTGCTCATACCTTGAGTAATCCCTCGTTAGACAAGGAGATCCTTGAGGGCAAGAATTACATCTTCATCTTTATTCATCTCTATATCTCTAGTACCTAAAGAGGTCTGGCAGTTTATAAATCTCTCAGAAAAATATTTACTAGGTAAATGAATTAATGAGCAACTCAAGAGACAGCAAAAATCTAACTTTAGGAGGAGTTTCTGGGAAAGTTTCTCAAAGGATATAGTGATTGGTCTGAATGTTCAAGGAACTGTAAATTCACTGGAGTTGGTAAAACAGAAAGGCAGAGAGGATGACAGTGAATGCTCCAAGCATTTTAAAGTCCCCTCAAGGGAATTAAGTGGTTTGGTATAACGTGGGCAAAAGAAAGGGCATAAAGCTTAAAGATGGGCAGGGTCCAGAAGGACCTTGCATACTCTGCTAAAGAATTCAAATTTTGTAATGTGATACACCACACACACAAAAAAGAAGTATAAAAATGAAGGATATGATCACATTGGCAGATAAAAAAAACATTTGACACAACCCAACAACTATCTATAACAACTGAGAGGTGAGCAGCAGAGAGATGAGGGAACATACCTCAACATAATAAAGGCCATCTATGACAATGCCACAGCTAATATCATACACAACAGTGAAAAGCTAAAAGCTTTTTCTTTAAGATCAGGAACAAGACAAGGATGTCCACTTTCACCATTTTTATTCAACATAGTAATGGAAGTCCTCACCACAGCAATCAGACAAGAAAAAGGAATAAGAGACATCTGAACTGGAAAGGAAGAAGTAAAACTGCCATTGTCTGTAGATGGTATGTTACTATGTATAGAAAATCCTACAGATTCTACCCCAAACTATTAGAACTAATAAATGAACTCAGTAAGGTAGCAAGGTATAAAATTAATATTCAGAAATTTATTGAATTTTATACACTAATAGAAAGTAATCAGAAAGAGAAATTAAGAAAACAATCCCATTTACAATAAAAAAGAATAAACTACCTAGAAATAAATTTGACCAATAAGGTAAAAGACCTGTACTTAGAAAATTATAAGATATTGAGAAAGGTGAAGGGGATTAAGAAGCATAAATTGAAAGTTACAAACATAGTCACTAATAGATAAAGTGCAAATAGGGAATATAGTCAGTAATATTGTAATAACTATGGATGGTGCCAAATGGGTACTAGAATTATAGAGGTGATCACTTTGTAAGGTACAGGAAAGTCTAATCACTGTTGAATATATCAAATTAATATAATATTGTATATCAACTATTATTGAAAAATACTTTTTTTATCCTCACCTAAGGACATTTATTTTTCATTGCTTTTAGAGAGATAAAGAGAAAGAAACATCGATGTGAGAGAGAAGCATTGATTGGTTGCCTCCTGTATGCACCCAAACTGGGGATTGTATGTACCTGGACTGGGGATCAGGTACTGAGAATTGAACCTGCAAGTTAGGTATGTGCCCTGCCTGGGAATCAAACCGTCAACCTTTTGGTCAGGGGACAATGCTCCAACCAAGTCTACACAGGCCAGAGCAAAAAATAATTTTTTTAAAGAAGAGTTTAAATTTTATTTTACAGGTGATGGCTATCACAAAAAGATTCTCTGAAGGAGAGGAACATAATGAGATTTCTTATAGATATTTTTCTTTGGCAGTAACATGGTGGGTAATTGAGATGGAATTTCGGAGATCAGCTAAAAGCCTTTTGCAGCTAATAGTTCAGGTGAGGAACAATAAAGGTCTGACCTAGGGCTGAAAAGGCTGTATCTGTTTTCTTCCACTGTTACCTTTTCATCACCTCCAACACTCTCACAACTGCCTTCTGGAGCCAGGCCTGAGGGTGGTGAGTAGTAACAGAAAATGCCAATCATTATAGTGCTTCACACTTTTATCTTAACTGGGTCACCCCAAAAGCCAAAGTGGACTTTTCTAGAGGGCCTATGACCAGAAACATGCCCCCCACCAAAAAAACCAGAAAAGCTCTTTCTCAAGCCACGATCCTCAAGCTACCTCACTTCTCCCAGTAATATTATGCCCACCTGCCACAGTGTACTTCTTCAGCAAGGGAGAATACAAGAAGAGGCAAAGAGAAGAGGGGAGAAGAGGCAGGTGGTAAAGGAGCAAAGCAGGTGGTAAAGACCCTTTATCTCATTTGTGAATAAAGATGGATGAAATCTGTTACATGAAGAGTAGAAGCTGTTTGGATCTTGTGGCCTCAGATTTGACAAAGGACACTTGGGTAGATGGAAAAGTATCCATGGACATTTGCTCAGCTTATTTATGGGGAAAGACCAGCTCTCCCCTCGCTCTCCTACACGTATCTGGTGGGAATTAAAAGGAGCTAACCCCTTTCTCTAGGACTGAGGTTCTCAACCTCAGTTATACATTGACATTAACTAATAAAAAGTATACTGATGCCTGAATCATACCCCAAGATATTCTCATTTAATTGGTATAGAATATAGTCTCAGAATTGGTCTGTTTGCAGAATTCCCTGGCTGATCTGAATGTAAAGATGGCTGAGAACCATTGCTCTAGACTAGGGGTCAGTAAAGTTTTCTGTAAAAGGCCAGAGAGTAAATATATTATGCTCTGGGGGCCACAGGGTCCCTGCTGCGATTACCCTACTCTGCTGTTGCAGTGTGAAAGTTAGCCGCAGACAATATGTAAATGAAATTATGAAAACAGGCAGTGGGCTGAATGAGGCTCACAAGACATGATTTACTGACACTTATTCTAGAAGCACACTCCAAGGGAGGCCAGACTGTCCAAGTCACTAGGTCAGGTACAGAGAAAACAGGAAAACTATTCTAGGTCATACAAAAGACATTTGGAAGAATGTTCTAGTTTTTAGTAACATGAGATATGTTTCTGAGCTTGATTTTACAATATGCTTGGATCTTCTGGGAAAGTGAAATTTCGGTAGTTGACAAAATTTCACGTTACCAACCCTGCCGCGGCTATCTGTTACTAATGACACTGTGTAGGTCAACTTCACATTTAAAATCTGACAACAAAGTGTTTGGAGTTAAAGTCTTGGTTCAGTACGCATTAGGCTCTAAGTTAAGGCAAAGCTGTCAGGTTAGAGCAGTGGAAGGAAGAAGGAAGAGAGCAAACTTCCATTAAACCTCCACGCTGTTTGACTTCTTAGAGAGACCATGTGTGATTTTGGATTTTGGATTAAAAATCCAATAAAGTATAATGAAAAAAAATAACTTACAATTGTGAATTAAAGGAAGAGACATTAAAGCTGGACACTTAAACTCTGAAGTTACATCAGGACAGAAAAACATTGAAACCCAAATAAGAAGAGGGTCCTACTAGGTTAAGGGCAGTCAGCTGGGGGACTGCTCCATTTTCTGTGTTCTCCAACCTCCTTGTCTAGCATTCGGTCATGAGCCTATGCTTTATTTCTACTTTGTTTGGTTGTTATTGTTTTGTTTTTAATTCTACATGGATAACTAATTTTAATTTATACTATCATATTATTCTGGAGAAATCTAAAAAAGGCAAAGACATTAGACAAATGAACTTTTGCCCAATCATTAAGTTTCTCTCTCATCATTGCTGGTTTCATTACTCTGTATGGGAAGAGAAGTAAATGATAGGTTGCTGCAAATCATGCTCCTTACAATCAAGGCTGGATGAGCTGCGTGGTTAATGGTATCCTTACCTTTATCCTATCGATGTTGGCTTCCATCTTCAGCTGTTCCACCAGCTTCCTGGCTTGTGCTATGCTGGCAGTGTTGTTGCTGGCCATTGGGGTGCTGGGTGGGCTTTTCAGACACACTAAGTAAGAAAACAAGTAAGAAGAATGCATGAGAGAATCCAGGAGCTGCCAAGTGTGCAGGTTCATCACAACCCAGGGATCCAGCCCTCTGCCTCCTCAATCCAGCACTGCCTCAGATGGTCAGGCAGACTGGAACATGGGTTTGCTTTCCCAACTCCCCCCACCTTTGCCATTTCATCCTTAGTTAGGGGGGAAAGAATGTTACCAAGTCAGTTGTAATAAAATATGCTGCCACGTTAATAGAGCAAGTTATTAAAAATATCAGTTTATAAAATACACTCAAAATAGTAAGGGTGATGGCATATGTTATAACTGCTGTTATTTATTGGGTACTACTACTGTCAGATACTGTGGAAGTGCCCTGGGAGGAAGAGTGAGAGGCAAGCAGAGAGAGGAACAGTAAACTACATAATCCTTTTGGACTAAAAACACCGAGTTTGCCCTGCTCCCTTGACGGATGGGCTCACACGCCAACTTCCCATAATGCTCGCAGCCCAGACCTATTAAACTGGGGAGACCCTGCAGCCAGAGGTGTGGCTTTGCAGTGCCGCTCATCCCACACTGTGTTAACAGTCTGATTGCAATATGGCATTATTCACAACTATTCACTTTACTCACAATTCTTCAGAAACACATCTGTAATGTCCGGGGGGGAGGGGCTGCCCTGTCTGAATCGTTAATTATATCAATGAGTTCACAAGTGGCATTCTAAATTAAGTGTAACAAATTTACTACTTTTTAAAATATGCAAATGGAACATAACTATTTAGAGAGTGGAGCTCTGAACCCACATAGAGTGAGACATGGTTTCTTTGCCACTGGCTCTGCCAGGCACCCTCCTCATCCCTGCCTCCACCCCCTCCCACCTCCTATCCCAATTTTATTTCTCTTCTAATTCTTTCTTGAGCCACGGTCTTACTTTATTCTTGTTGTTCATCTCAGAATGCATCCTATTTTATTTTTGCCCATTTTCCCCGCATTCTGATCTTGCTCCATGCCAAGGCATGAAGGACCATCTGTGTAAATGTGCCCCTTGGGGTCACTGACACCTAATAGTGAAGCAATGGCTGAGAGCTGCAATTTAACTAGTGTGCATGACTCAGAAATGAGAAGCATTAATACACTGCTTCAGTCAACACTGGCTGAATCTCGTTCAGAAGACTTTATATTAAAGTCGTGACTTCTGCTAGCTTTGGGGAATATTTTTAACTAGGGATAAAGTAGGATCATGTTACCATCTAAAAAAAGGAAAGAGGACACATAGAAAACCCAGGGAAGAAAGAATAACTCATAATAAACTCAATATATAATTTTTTTTTACGAAAATCAAAAATTAATTTTTAATTACCAAAAAAGCAAAACACTATAAATTATCTCCTTTGGTTCTTATTTCTTGAAATCTAGTTCTTCACAACAACAACAAAAAATTATGCATAACTCTTTGCAAACAAAGAAGTCCCTTTGCAGAGAGTGCTATTTTACAAAGAATGCTGCAAAATAAGCCACCTTGGCAACATGTACATTATAAACTGGAAGATAAATTAACTGTTGCCTCAATTTATTTTCAAAGGGCTTGGCGATAATATGGGAGGGAAGATGCAAGGGATTTTAAAGCCACAAAGATTTCTGACTCGGCTTTCACATGCTGAAGATCAAGAAACATGGAAAAACAAACATAAAATAAATAAAAGGAGGCTTTAACAACTATGATTTCATCCGCATGGTTAGGAACACAATCATTTCAGCCCTATAGGGAAATTAATTATATGCCCCCGAATCAAACACACATCTAACCACCTTGCAAAACCTCACAGGGACAAGATGGAATACTGACTCATCCATTAGAGTAGCCTAACTCTCCCATTCATCCAAGTTGGAAGTTGGCCGTGATCTTCAAGCCCCTGGACACTGTTCTGTGAAGCTAATGTTTCTTACAAACTAAAATTTGTGAATTCTAGCTGGGCATATTTTAGAGGAGAGATACATTCCCTAGCCTCTCTTACAGCTCAGTCTAGTTAAATGACTAAGTTTTGGCCAGTGGGATATAAGTAGAAGTGTCCTTGATGGAGTGGGGTGTGCCCTTTGCCTCCTCTTCCTCCTGCTGTCCTGGGCGGTGGTCATGCTGACTAGAGAGCTCCATCTTCCATCTCCAGGCTACACTCCAGGGTGATCAGGAAGGGTTAGAGCCACTAGGCCAGCTGTACACTGGTTGCCATCTATGTGAAGAAAAAGCAGCACTTATCTTGTTTCCATCACCATTAAGGGTTTCTCTGCTCTTGGCTGCCAGGTCTTCCATTAACTGAGTAAATAACCCATTATTTTCATTTGCGTATCTAGGACAGTTTATGTCTTGCAATACCAGTTGCTGTTCCCGGGAAAGCTGTGGATGTCCTGAGGAGACTGAGCTAGAAAGTGTATGAATTGTCTATTGCTGCTGTAATATATCACTACAAATTTAGTAGCTTAAACAGTAGAAATTTATTATCCTACAGTGTTGGAGGCCAAGAGTCTGAACTAGGTCTCACTGAAATAGGCTAAATTCTAGGTGTTGCGGGGCTGCGTGCCTTCTGGAGGCTCGAACAAAAAATCTGCTTCTTTTCCTTTTCTAGCTTCTCGAGGCTGCCAACATTCCTTGGCTCTTGGCCTTTTCCCTCATCTTCAAAGCCAGCAAACATACACAGAGTCCTTCTCATGTCATATTACTCTAAATTCTCCTCTATTCCCACACCCCTTTGACTCTCCTCTGCCCCCTCCTTTCACTTAGAAGGATCCAGGTAACTACCTGGGGTCCACCCCGATAATCCAGGATAATCTCCCTATCTTTAGGTCATCTGATTAACAACCTTACTTCCATCTACCAGCTTAATTTCTCTTTCCCATGTACCAACATATTCACAAGTTCCAGAAACAGGGACATGGGCATCTTTGGGGGCCTTTATCTTTCCTTCTGCTTCCATAGAAGGAGACCTCTGTACAGAGAGAGAAGGGAAGTGGGGGCTGAGATGGGAAAAGGAGAGGAATGGGGCAGAATGCAAGTCTAGAAATGTTGGGGAGAGAACATACTTGAAACCTAAACGGACTTAAGAAAAAAAGTTAACATAGGCTTTGATTTGTGCTCCTACTTTTAGGAAGATACATCCTGAATGTTTTCATTTTATCATGTGACCCAACAGAGTCTAGTGCCACTTTTGGAGTCCCTTTGTGCATTTCCCTCTTTTTGACATCCAGCTGCTTTCCCATAGGAGTGACAAAGTCCCCTCCCGAAGACTGAAAACTGTGAAGTCCTAGACCAGTGTTCCAAAGAGGTATGTGTTTTCCTAAAAGGTGGCTATGGTAAGTAAAAAAAGTTGGCTTCTTTTCTAGGCTTGAGGCATTTGGACAAAGCATTTTACATTCACACATGCACACACACACACCCCTCTTTTCATCATATGAAACCAAAACTATATCCAATAAACAATAACTCCCATTCTTTTCTCCCCTCAGCCCCCAAAACAACTATTCTGCTCTCTGTTTCTATGCTTTTGGCTGTTCTAGGGATCTCATAGAGGTAAAATCGTACGGTATTTGTCTTTCCATGACTGGCTTATTTCACTTACCATAATGTCCTCAAGACATTATGGAAATTTTATCCATATTGTAGAATATGTCAAAAAATTTTTTTAAGGCTGAAATATTTCATTTTGTTGATGGGCACTTGGGTCACTTCCATGTTTTAGCTACTGTGAATAACACTTCTATGCACATGGATATATAAATATCTCTTCAAGACTCTACTTTCAGTTCTTTTGGGTATATTCCTAGAATTCAAATTGCTGGATCATATGGTGAAAAGTGAAATCTTTTTCACTTTTTATGGAACAGCCATACTGTTTCCCGCAACAGCTGCACCATTTTACACGCTTAACAAAACGCACCAGGGTTCCAATTTTTCCTTATCTTCACCAACACTTATTATTTTTTTGAAAGTGGTCATTCTAATAAGTGAGAGGTGATTTCTCATTATGGCTTTGATTTTTATTCCCTAATGATTAGTGATATTGAATGTCTTTTCCTTATCAATCATTTGTATACCTTCTGTGCAGAAATGTCTATTCAAATCTTTAGCTCATTTACTTTTTAATTAAAAATATTTTAATTGTATTTTCCATTACCATTTAACTCCCTTATACTCCTCCTACCCCTTGTAATCACTACACTTAGCCCACTTTGAATTTTTTTGTTGTTATAATATTTTTATTACTATCTAGAATATATAGCAGTTCTCTATATATTCCAGATATTAGTCTCTTATCAGATATAGGGTTTGTAAATATTTTTTCCCATTCCATGAACTGCCTTTTCACTATGTTAATAGTGTGCTTCAAAGCACATAAGTTTTTAATTTTCCTTAAGTCCAATTTGTCTTTTGGTTTTTTTGTTGCTTGTGGCTTTGTTGTTATATCCAAGAAATCACTGCTAAGTCCAATGTTGTAAAGCCTTTGCCCGATTATTTCTTCAGAGTGTTTTACAGTTCTTGGCTCTTTTATTTAGGTCTTTGATGCATTTTGAGTTAATTTTTGTATATGGCATTAAGTAAGAGTCCAACACCATTCTTTTCCATGCGGATATCTAGTTTTTTCAGCATTACTTGTTGAAAAGATTGTCTTTTTCCTATTAAGTACTCATCACCCTTGTTGAAAATCATTTGACAATATACGTGCAGGTTTATTTCCAGGCTCTCTATTCTATTCCTAAATTAATTCTATTTTAAGCTAATTTCTAAGTATTTTCTTCTTTTGACACTATTGTAAATGGAGTTTTTAAATTAATATCCTTTTCAGATTGCTCATTGTTAGTGTATAGAAATGGCATATCACTGATACACATTCATGGGGAAGAAGCAGCCTCTGCCTTCCACCCTTCCTGACTGGAGAGCAGCTGCACGCTTTGAGAAGTGTGGTTGGGGAAAGGGTCTTGTACCTCAGTAGCATCATGGGCCTGAGAAAAACTATTGACA